GCAATAACTCTAAAAATACTAAAAATATCCAGACGAAAATACCCAGGTGCACAACTTCACATGCTGATCAACATACCCATAAAGTTTCTTTGAATTCCAGCCATTAGTTGCAGAGAACTACTCCGGAAACAAAATTCGGACGTTTTACTAAGTCAAGGGCAATAACTCTAAAAATACTAAAAATATACAGACAAAAATACCTAGGTGCACAACTTCACATGCTGATCAACATTCCCATAAAGTTTCGTTGAATTCCAGCAATTAGTTTGCAGAGAACTACTCCGGAAACGAAATTCGGACGTTTTACTAAGTCAAGGGCAATAACTCTAAAAATACTAAAAATATCCAGACGAAAATACCTAGGTGCACAACTTCACATGCTGATCAACATTCCCCATAAAGTTTCGTTGAATTCCAGCCATTAGTTGCAGAGAACTACTCCGGAAACGAAATTCGGACGGACGGACGGACGGACGGAAGGACGGACGGACAACGCCAAAACTATATCCCCCTCCCGATTCCATCGGCGGGGGATAATAAACTGCTGATATGATCATTTATTTTAAAAGTTACTTACAATGTAAGTTATAAATTTGATCCATTGCAGTGAATAGAAATAGGAACACTTCGGGTTCACTATGAATGTAATTTCTGTAATGTAGTTATTATCCCCCGCCGATGAAATCAGGAGGGGGATATAGTTTTGGCGTTGTCCGTCCGTCCGTCCGTCCATCCGTCCGTCCGAATTTCGTTTCCGGAGTAGTTCTCTGCAACTAATGGCTGGAATTCAACGAAACTTTATGAGAATGTTGATCAGCATGTGAAGTTGTGCACCTGGGTATTTTCGTCTGGATATTTTTAGTATTTTTAGAGTTATTGCCCTTGACTCAGTAAAATTTTGTCCGAATTTCGTTTCCGGAGTAGTTCTCTGCAACTAATGGCTGGAATTCAACGAAACTTTATGGGAATGTTGATCAGCATGTGAAGTTGTGCACCTGGGTATTTTCGTCTGGATATTTTTAGTATTTTAAGAGTTATTGCCCTTGACTTAGTAAAAATTTTGTAATTTTCAACTTGTGTCGCATGTAACTCAAAAAGTATTTGACCTAGAGTCATGAAACTTTACAGGAAATGTTGATCAGTATGTGTAGTTGTGCACCTGGGTATTTTCGTCTAGATATTTTTAGTATTTTTAGAGTTATTGCCCTTGACTTAGTAAAATTTTGTAATTTTCAACTTGTGTCGCATGTAACTCAAAAAGTATTTGACCTAGAGTCATGATACTTTTTACAGGAATGTTGATCAGCATGTGTAGTTGTGCACCTGGGTATTTTCGTCTGGATTTATTTAGTATTTTTTAGAGTTATTGCCCTTGACTTAGAAAATGTTTACAATTTTCAACATGTGTCGCATGTAACTCAAAAAGGATTTGACATAGGGTCATTAAACCTTATTGGAAAGTTGCTCAGCATATTTAGTTTGTTCCTGGGGTTTCGCTTGTGATTTATCCAGTATATGTTGAGTTATTTCGCTTGACTTAGTAAAAACTGTTTTCATTATGTTGTTATTTGATCCTTGAGTGCTTGAGTTAGAATCGACCAACTTTACAGGAATAATGATCAACATCACTAAATTACAGGAATAATGATTCACCTCACTGTGATGCTATGAAACCTGGGACTTTGCATGTGGATTTTTTTCAGTTTTGTTAGAGTTATTGCCCTTGAATTACAGTAGTATAAATTTGCAATTTTCAACTTGGGGTTTGCTTGGGGATTTATTCAGTATTTGTAAAGTTCTTGCCCTTTACTTAGTAAAAAGATTTTTAGTTTTTCAAAAAATATTTGACCTAGAGTCATAAGATTGACAGAACAGTGGCGCGGTGGGGGCACCCGTGTCCTATGGACACATTTCTAGTTTTTATTAAAGAAGAATTAAAATGATTTGTTACAATAACATTTAAAAATATTTGAAAATTGTGAGATCCCTTCTTGATGCCTTGAAAATGGCAATGAAGTCTGGAGATTAAGATGTTTTTACATCTGTGTGAGCTATTGTGATCCCCATCCGTCCGTCGTCGTGCGTCGTCAGCAATTTCTTTAAACAACATCTCCTCAGAAACAAATGATTGCACAGCAACCAAACTTTACAGGAATGATCCTAGGGTGGTCCCCTGCCAAAGTTGATCAAATGGTTCCGGTCTGTTGCATAAGTAGGTCACAGGGCCAGAAAAGGAGTTTCAAAAATGCAAAATTAAAAAATCTTGTCTGAAAGTACAAGGCCTAGAGCTTTGATATTTGGTATATGATATAACCTATAGGTCCTCTACCAAAATTGTTCAAATTTTAGCCCTGGGGTCAAAATTGGCCCCACTCCAGGGGGTCATAGATTTTCCTTATATGTATATAGTGAAAACTTAAAAATTCTTCTTGTTTGAAGGTACAAGGCTTCAAGTTCAAAGAATATAACTGTTTATGCCATGATTAATATAGAAATAAAGCCTTATTTCTTCAGTTGTTGTGTTAATAATAACCATTACTCGGCGGGGGATATAAATTCAACGAATTTGCTTGTATTAATTTAACTCCAAAATAAGTCATTCAGTGCTAGATATGATATTGTCCACTTAATGATGCCAGCAGTCACAAATAGAGCCAGATGTGTCTGTAAATTTTGACATAATAGATTTAGACTGCGTAAATATCATACTTGAGGGACGTTTTATTGGTTATGTACAGATAAAGGCATGATGGTTCCTGTATGACCATTGGACCCGAGGAAATTTTTAGTGATTTAGTTATGGCATGAAGACAGTTAATTTACCTCCCCAGGTTGCAATGTATCTAAACCTACACTGGTTACCTATACTGGTTGCTCAAACCTACACCAATTACCTAAACAGGTTACTTAAACCTTCACCAGTTACTTAAACATAAACTCAGGTTAGTTAAACCTACACCAGTTACCTAAACTGGTTACTTAAACCTACACTTAAGTTACCCAAACCTACAGTGGTTTCCTAAACCTACATTGGTTATACTTAAACCTACACCAGTTATCTTAACCTACACAGGTTACTTTAACAAACACTGGTTACCTAAACCTACATTAGATACTAATAACCTACACCAGAGTTACCTAAACCTACACTGGTTACTTTAACCTACACAATGGCTACCTTAACCTACACATTGCCTGAGTTACCTGAAGTTCACTCACTGCTCATCAAGTCTGACTAGCTAAGTACATGTACATGTACTTTATACGGTAACTCTCTGCCAAATATTAATATACCGGTACCTTAATTAATATAACTTAAAATTAAGATAATAGTTATATGATAAAGATTGATCTGTTCTATATTCAAAGCAGACTAAGTCTGTGACACAAATCTGTTACAGTTTTTAGACTGATCCACAATTTTAAATTTTATGACCATTGTCAAACTATCATTAAAGGGAAAAGTTATTACAGTCGAAGATCGATTTCAACCCTGTAACCAACATTAAAATATGCATATTCTGGTTGCGTGATCAATGACAAAGGGATACCGTCTGTAGAGTTTTAAATATTGGGATGTCATATTGAATGTTTAAATTGATTGCAAATTGCCTTTCAATTAAGGTTCAAGTCATAATGTTCAAAGGACAAGATTTCCATAATGAATGGAATGTTTCAGTTTGAAATGAACTTGTCCCACTGAACTTGCTTTATGAATTTGTCTTGATTTGAATTTGGAGTTGTTTAATGTTGAGTAAGTACAATTATTAAGAAGCTGGCAGTAAAAATTATAATTCTGTATTATAACTGCTGCAATTTACTAGTAAGTTAATATGCTTGGTTTGTTTAAATAACGCCATATGGCCACAAGGCTCTGAAGGTAGGGTAAAAGAGGGACTCTTGTACAGTACAGTTTATGATGATTATTTAATAGGATTGCAAAAATGCACCTTAAATTGCAGTGATATGTTTATCTATTAATAGCCACAAGCTTTTGTAATTTAACTTGTTCTAATGTTTATTGATTCATAGATATTGATTTCTTTTTTACAGACTCATGTACAGACTCAATCAAACCGAGTCTGCAATTCTCTTGTAATTCTGTCGTGATTATTGATTAATGCTTCCGAGGGATCACTTTCTTTCCAGATTTTTATGCTTCACAACAGCAGGTGTCAAGTGCTGTGTGGCAAAAAAAAAAGTTGCCCCATACTTCACTTCAGTGTTGTTATATTTTTCTGGTCCTTTGGGATTATTGATATCAGCACTATTAAGTGTTTAGAATTTAGAACCGCTCAAGCTGGTGCCGGGGGGGGGTGAGGGATTTATCCCTCATGTACAGACTCAATCAAACTGAGTCCGCAATTCTCTTGTAATTTTGTTGTGATGAATGCTTCCAATGGATCACTTTCTTTCTAGATTTTTAAGAGTATACAACAAATACATGACTACATGTATGGTAAATTAAGAGAATTCCTTGATTTTCAAAAAGAAGGTATGATATTGAAGTTGTGAAAAAACTGTCATTTCTAAAATAATATTCTACCCATTTATGTGTTAATAACAATAGTGATATCTGGAACTCGGCAAATGTTTTTTTTTTTTCAGCCTTATCTCTCTATCAGCCCAAGTAAAAGGACATTAAGCAGCATGTCCCAGGATTCATGCTGATTTTGATTAAAATTTTGAAAATATAATTAAAAGTAAATATTGTAATGTGAGCATGGATACTAATTTACACGGTGCTTAGACAATCCATGTAAATTACCAACAAGAGGTCAAAATATGTAAAAATAGTCCTACAGCATTAGAAATGTCTATAACGGTGATATTAAATACTGCAAAATCAGTCATTTCTCACATATAACTCATAAGTTATTACTTGAATCTTTTGATTTTATTTAAAATCTTCTACAGTTTTCTCAAGTTTGATTTCCAGTAGTTGAACAATTTTGGTTTATCTGGAGTCATGCAGCTTTGAATAAGGTGGTGCACTGGTTGGCTTGTTTGTATAGACAGGTGGCATTTAAGGCTTTGCAGTTTCTTAGTTTCAACAGTGATTCAGAGTCTAGCTGTTTTCTAGTGCATTACAATAGCATGTTAAACATGCAGGATAAATGAAGCAATCAAATGCATTTTGTTTAATTCAGTTAGCGTTTTAATATCCTGTATTAAATTTTCTTTGAAGCATTTTCCGAACTTTTGAAATTTCTCTGTTGATCAAAATGTAATTATTGAGGATTTCTAATGGAATGTTTCAGAGATTGCCATGGGAACTATTTTATTAGAAATGTATCATGATATAATTAAGCTATTGAATTGATTCAAATAATTTCATTTATTATCTTTGTTATTTATTGTTGTTTTACTATTTTCACGATTCTAGATGCAGTAAATTTCTTTGTATGATGGGATATACATTTGTATATTTTTCCAATTCTTTTAATTCACTCAAGTTTTATTATATTTAGAGGGAAATAGTCTGGGTTATAATTGAAACTCTATGATGTTGCCTGACCATTTAGCTCATCGTGTAGAGGTGTTAAATGTGATGACATTATGAAAGTCTTCTGTCGTGCATCACAATTGTTATATAGAAGAAGTTTTAAAATCCATACAGTATATTTCATCAGTCATAGCTTTATGCCCTATAGATATCGTAAATATCTTCTCCCCCAAAAACTACACTGCCATTTAAATAGCAACCAAGAGCTTTGAATTTTAAAGTGGACTTAAAAATCATGCCTTTGGGCGTCAAATCTGGCCATGCCAGAAGGTTACTATTAGTTAAGGTCCCTGACTTTGAAACACTTGCCCCTCGTCCCTGTTGGTACGTCTGGGACTTTGGATTTTTTCATGCGAGGAAGGATACCAAGCTAGCTTGCAAAGGTCGGTGGTTTTACTCAGGTGCCTGCTTGTGCCAAAAGTAAGGCACAGGGAAGCACATGAAATCTTCCTCCAGATGTGAAGCTTGAAGTCACCATACTTGACATTGTCACTTTCTCAAAAAAACCAAACAAACATAGGGACATTGAACTCTCATGTTAGGAAGTTATATTGCTAGGCTTATGAAAAATTGATGTTTATTATTCACTTTTAATGCCAGCTTAGTGTCTAAAACACAAGTTCCCTTGAGTTCTTTAACTATCTGTTACAGAAGCTTAATATTCATCATGTGACCTTAACAGTATGAGCTTGACCTTCACCCCTCGGGAGAAAATGACCTCATGTTTGGAAAAAATGGAACTTATTGCATAAAAGTTAATGTGTAATTTCGTATTGGCATCTTTTATAACTTTGTGGTATGGTCATTAATTATTTTGTCTCAGAGCTTGGTGTAGAATGTAAAGTATTGCTTTGAGCTTTGAACGTGGGTCTGTTTATTAATGAGTTATTTATTAATGAGGCATTCATTTGATATTGTGTGTAATAAAGGTCTTATTACAAAAAAGCATATATTCGTGTGTATAAGTAAATTCACACATTAGGAGAAGCCTATATGATCTTGATAGAACTTGCATTTGCATATATTGATGAAATATATAATGAAGCAGTATTGGAAATAAAAGGAAATAAATGAAAATTTATATGAGTGTGAACATAAATTTTGATGAAATGTTATGGACATAATGTTGGATGAAGTCATGTGAACATTGTGGAATTAGGAAAAAATAGCTTAGTAATTAGGTATGTTGAAAAAGGAAAAAATGCTTAGACACTTGAATTAGATTATGTTGAAAAAGGAAAAAATGCTATGCTTGAATTAGATATTTTGGAAAAGGAAAAAAATGCTATACTTCTAGAATCAGATATGATCTAAAAAAGATAATAATCTCATAATAGCTGTTACATAATGTATGATATACCTATATTAATAATGATCAGATTTATATCGGGGGAATCCAGTTAATGAAAAAGGTTTGTAAAAGTTAAAATCTAGTTACTGAAACGTTACATTGTAGTAAGAGAATGAAATTGTCATTCATCGATTGAAATTAGAAAGGAAATTAAAGTAACAAAATTGGATAAAATAATTCAGTGATCAGTGGTTATTTGATTCAAATTGTATTATATAATTTCAAATGAACAAACATTTTCAGGAAAGTTTTTTAGTGTGTACAATATACAAATTCCTAGAAATTCTACTGAAAACAAATTACTAGAAAAAAGAAAAATTGTAAGAGCTGGAAAAGACAATTAGAAATAAATGTATACAGACAATACAGTGTGTAATCTTGTTGATTGAAACATGAATGCAACTATGTGTAATTTTTATCATTTGGAAATATGATATATATATATTCATTTGAGATGTGATATCGGAAACATTTGAATAATGTTATTGGCATGTGTTTACACACAAAAAATTGCATATATTTGCCATTTGTAAACACAATACATTAGTGAAATATGTTGCCATGAATTTTCTGCATGAGTAATGTGGTGTTTTAAACATGCAGCACTTCAATGTGTAATTTAACTATGCATGTACATCAGAGATTTGTGTAATGTAGCCATGTGTCAACACAGTGGTGCATATGTGTTATGTTACAATGTGTAAGCATCATGTCAGTGCAGATTATGTCAGGATGCTGCTGTAACCATGTGTTCAGAACAAACTGGCCACTTGTACACTGGGGAGAGTCCCCCTATAGACAGGTAATGAAGATGTGTGTTAAGATTTGCCAATCTTTATGTTATTTGCTGTATATCTGGTATTTTATGTATATAAATTTGAGGATACATAAGTTACTTTTTTTCAGCGTCATGATATATGTAACTTACTAGTATATCAGGTTTTTCATGTCCCCAATTCTAAAGGGAGATGGGGGGGGGATATACATTTGCCCTTGTTGTTCATATGTAAATTGCTGTCCCACAGTTGACTGGCAAAACAGTGGAATATTTGGGGCATTCCATGTCCTGTCGACACATTTCTAGTTTTATGATCAAAATCATAATTAACAGGTAGCCTGTCAAGACCTTTAAATTTATAAATCCATTGACCCTTAACCTTTTTACCTGCTGAATTTGTGTAATGGATTTGCATATAGCCCTTAATTTGTGCAATTATGTATTTGGAACATGCAGCCCATTCAAAGTTTCAGGGACAATCCAATATCAAAATACTTGTGCAAAAATTATGGAGACTGGTCCAAAGTCACGTTTGGTTACAAGGGCACATAAAATATTTCAGATTTGCAGACAGGTATTTACAGGTCTCTAATTGAATCATTGAATCATTTAATATAATCAGAGACATATTTAATATTTCATGCTAACTTTGTTTACATTTTCATTAAATCAGATTTGTTTACTCAGTGGAAGAATCAATATTTTAGATTTGTAAAATATGTAGATTGTTTCGAAAAGGCTGAATGAGATGTTAGTTCTTAGAAAATTGTGAAAACACTGTGCTATATTTAAAATACAATATCTACGATTTAATTAATCATATATTTTCTGTTCTTTTACAGGTTTCACAAATCTCTATTACTGATGATGATGCTCAAATCAACAGGAAGTTACCAAAAGAATTACTTCTGAGGTAAGCGATAAATATTATATATGTTGGCAACAGCAACCATAAATTATGGTGCTTTTCCCACCTTTTAATAAACTGGTGGAGGAATACCACAGGTGACACTCTTGAATAGGATTATGAACCACCAGACTTTTGTAGACTAGCTCGCAGGAAAGCTACCTCACATGAGAGAATTCATTGCTCAAAGGCCAAGGTTTTCATACTTTTCCATCCAAAAGGCTTCATATAAAATTTTCATAAAAAGTACATTGCTGGTTTCTTCAGTCAATTAATTAGTAATAAATATCATCAGCTTAGTGCAGTAATGGGTTAACTTCTATTAAATTATATAAGAAGTTAAACTGGTACTGCACTAAGGTGACAAATTACTAAGTGAATTATTCTACAATGTATAAGTAACTTGCCATAAATGTGTTGGAAATAATGACAATGTTTCATGTATCTCGAGCTCAAAGGTCAAGGTCACACTTTTATGTCCAAAGTCATAGTATGTTCATGAAATAATGGTTGTGTACAATCCATGATTTTGTCATTCATGGATGGATTTTGAATAAATTATACATAAATGTTAAGCAATTTGAGAGCACATTGAGAGCTAATCTCCCTTATGTAAAAGCAAGGCTTTTAGTCAAAGGTTATTGTAACTAGGCTAAGCTTCTGATTCATTTCTCTGTTATAATGACATGTCTTGTTTGAAATGATTATGAAACTTTCAGCGTTCAAGAATCGTGAAAAAATTTGGTAATATAGAATATGTACATATGCTTTTACAAAATTAATAGAGGTATACAATTTGCTATAATTTAGAGAGGCAGTATATAATGTTTTATGTATGTTTCATATTTTACAGAATATTCTCATTTCTTGATGTGGTGACACTGTGTCGATGTGCTCAAGTTTCCAAGGTAAGATATAACTCATATCACACTGTTTGAAAGTGAGTGAAATATAGAAGTTTAAGTTCCTGTTTTGATCCATTGAGAGGCATTATGAACAAAATACAACACAAAATACAACACATAATTTACAAAGATGTTTATGATGTCATAAATTGGCATCATCGGCACCAATGATCCTGATAATGTCGGATTATATGATGTGAAATCTCCACATCCAGAAGATTTATAACTAAACAGCAATGTAAAATAATATTTGTTGAAGATTTATTCATAATGCCATGAAATTATTATTTCAATTTGCCTAATGTTTACTTTCAAATCAATTCCTTATCTAATGTCCTTAAAAATTCCTATTGAAAATATTTCTCGCTCAGGTTTTCATTTTTTAGAAGAAGATAATGTTGCAAATGAAAACTATTATATATCATTAAAATTATGTCATGAAGGACTACATTTGTGAAATAATGACAACAATTAATAAAACCTTTCCATATATATAACTGATACTTCAGTTTTAAATCTCCCAAGGAAATAGATGCTTATAATAAAGTTAACACTTAACATAATAATATAAAATTACAACACTTGATGAAAACTTTAAAACTTTAAATGTTTCATTGATTTATATACAATATCCCTCATTTTGTCTTGCCCAGGCTAGCCTGCATGTGTATCAAGTCTGACTACCGGGCTCTATACAGTTGAATTTTGTAGATCCCTCAAACACGCAGTGGAAAGTCCAAATTCAAAGCAGGGCACTGGTCTATTACACAAAATCAGTGAGATAATGGGTATAACCCTGGCACTTAATATCCATCTTTCAGTCTGGTCAAGAACGTTATCTTTACGGAAAATTTACGGAAAATTAAAAAATATGTATTGACTGAATAGCGAACAATGCAGACCATGTTAAAAAAAAAGCAAAGATCTATAGGCTGACCTTGGTCTGCGCTGGTCATGTGGGTGAATTTAGTTGCCGCTGCTCAGCAGGCTAAGGTTAAGTTAAAACACTAGTATTATATACTAACAAACTTTGACCAAGGGCAGTATTGATGTCACACACATAAATAATCCAGTCATGAAGGAATTGATTTGTAATACCAGTAAATTATTAATCATATTTATTATTACCAAACTGTCATGGGAATTATGTTTTAAAATCTGCTCTTTTCAAGTTAGTAACACAATTTGCGAAACAAATTAAATCATGAATATTTTACAAGTGAATCATTTCTGGATTAAATATCAAACTTTCTTATTGGAATTGATGTGGTCACTGGTCGGATCTATAATGCTTTATTGAAGACTTATTCACAAACAAGAAAGAATGAGCCGCGTCAGGACAAAACCAACATAATGGGTTTGCGACCAGAATGGATCCAGACCAGCCTGCGCATCCACGCAGTCTGATCAGGATCCATGCTGTTCGCTTACCAACCCTTTTACAAGTCGAGAAACTGATAGCGAACAGCATGGATCCTGATCAGACTGCGAGGAATGCGCAGGCTGGTCTGGATCCATGCTGGTCGCAAACCCATTATGTTGGTTTTGTCGTGACACGGCTCAAATATTTTTGCTGTGTCAGGTCTAGGTATCTGCTAATAGTTACAAATTATTTAAATGAATATATCAATACTACATGTTTGTAACATCCAATTTCATTGGATAATTGGGATGTTTATATCATTCATATACATGGCTGCAGCAAAATTTGAATTTCTAATCAAGGAAAAACAATTTATGCAGTGTTATTCTATAAATTCACTTTAAAGTCGTTTTACAGTTTATATGGCTGCATGATACTAGCTGTTTGCTGTATAAGTTTTGTCTAGTGACTTTGGTTATATATGCTTATAACAGATATTAATGGGCCATATAACACATATAACACAATTATTGTTATATTGAATATAACATGTATATATTTTAAATGTTAATTCTTACTGAAAAACTTGAATCACTTACAGTTTCAACAATAATTACCTTCCTATATATGTAACCCTGACCCTGATAAAATATATAAAGTAGACTTGTCCATCTTACAATCTGGACAAAACAATTCATAATTCTTAGGGAAAATTTCAAAATATATATTGACTGAATAGCAAACAGTGCAGACTATGATCAGATGACACGGATGTAAAGGCTGCTGATCTTGGGTTATATGGATAGAGTCAGTTGTTGCCAGCAGGCCACTATTCTAATAGAACCAATCCAACCTCCATTTATCCATGCAGTTTGACTATAAATTCCAATTTTCCTCTCCTCTTTAACAGACCTGGGGTAATCATTAATCGTAATCATCGATTTTTTAATTGATTACATAATTACAGTGTAATCATCATGTAATTGATTACCTTGCTCAAAATTGATTACATTAATTGTAATTAATCAATTACAGCTTAAATTCAGTCTGTAATTACGATTACAATTTGATTGATATTGATTACTTTCAGATTTTACATGAAACTATTGAAATTCAAATGATTTATTTCACATGTTACAGTTTAACTAAGGTAGTAAAATATCAAGTGAGACATTTTAAGACATGCACTCACAATGAAGAAATAAGTTTTAATCCATACAGTTAACCAAATTCTAACTGAAAGATAGACATCATTGTTTGGCTGGTATTCTAACCAAAATGTCAAATCATTGGATTTATGATGTCTTTGAATTTCCTAAAGAGACATCTGGAAATGTGACAGCACAGTGCAACTTGTGCTCTAAGAAGATAAATGGAAACACTAAGTCACATTCAAATTTCATTACCCACATAAAGGTATGTTAAATTTTGTTTCACATATTTTGGTTAAACCATGTTTTAAAAAGTTTCAAACAATGTAGATAACTTCTTTACTTTGTATATTCTAGAATTTATGTCAGATGCATTATTACCATATTTTAATTATATGCAACAGTTATTTGGAAGGTGATAGACAATGTGTCTATATTATAATGGATACTGTTGTACCATTGAAGTGTTTGTAAAAAAACCTGATAATTTCTTTGTAAAGTCTATTGTCTCTTTGAATTCCCATACAAAAATTTATTGTTTTCACACCTGTTTTAACAGCTGTATTTTTTTTACTCAACTCAACTCAACTCAATTTTATTTAAGTAAATAAAGGCCTCCGGCCCAAAATACACAACAGTATAAATATTATAGTGTATACATGTATTGAATGTAGTTGCATAACATATAAAATTAGAATAAAATAAGTCAAGAGCTGGTACTTTTCAACAAGTGATATACAAACAGAGATAGTTTATAAATATTTTCTTCATTTTGTGTACTCGTCAGCGAATAAAAATCGTTAATTGTAGTACCATTTGAATACCAATTATAGAGATAATTATTTCGGACGTCATTATACTTAGAACATTGAAAAAAGGCATGAAATTCACAATCTATAGCAGTTACATTATTTTGGTAAAAACAAAATAAACATATTCTTTCATGTAGTGGTATATTATTTTGTCTTCCCATTTCAATCGTTAATTTGTGACAGGAACATCAAAACCTTTGAAGAGCAACCATATATTTTCTTGGAATATCACAGTAAAGATAACGTTCAGGATTTAATTGACTCTTAAAAAATTTATAATGGTAACAACGGGACGCAATATTTATATCATTATGCCATTTTTGTTCAAAACAATCTTTCAGCCGTTGACGAAAAGTTAAAATAAATATGTCTATATTTCCACACCTGTTTTAACACCTGTATACAGTATACTGTACAATTGACACTTTTAAAATTTTCTGTTGCAGAGAGTTCATTATGAAACCTACACCAAGAAGACTGAGGTCCATCCCTGCATCATTGGCCCCTGTAGAGGGTTTGTTTAGTGTTGCGGGTAAAATTTTCCGTCCTGATAGATGCAGTTTGACTGATAGATGGTTTCATTAACTTATGATGCTAAAGTGCAATGCTAAAATATGATAAAGTGATGTGACAGTAACTAAAAGTGTGTTAAAATGATGACTGTTGATGAGCTGGAAATCCTTTGTGTATATAATGTATATATTAAATAGCATTAAGAAGCTTTTGTTTATAGTTATACATGGAATGTAATCAATTATCAATCAATTACTTTCTCAAAGTAATTGTAATTTAATTGATTACAGAGGCAAGTCTGAGTAATCAATTGTAATCAATTACTATAAAATCTGAAAGTAATTGTAATTAAATCAATTACTGATCAATGTAATCATCCCCAGGTCTGCTCTTTAAGAATACTTCAAATTTCAGTATTAATACACATATTTTAAAATCCTTACATTTCTTAATTGACAGTGGAATGTTACAAGTCCATTACTTGAATCAAGTGGGATGAAGATTACAGAGGAAGGTGGGGGGGGAGAAGAATTGTTGGAAAATTCATTGCATAAGTATTGGTTATAGAGCATTTTCTTCTGACAATTAAACGTTATGCTGTTATGTTAATGTGTGTCATTTCCTCGGGGAATTGTTATAATATTGACAGTTTGTTTAGGAGAATTTAAACAACATACTGGCCAGGCAATGCATAAATGAGCCATATCATGACAAAACCAACATAGTGGGCAGACAACCTGCGCAGACTGCGCGGATGTGCAGGCTGGTCTGGATCCATGCTGGTCGCAAACCCACTATGTTGGTTTTGTCGTGATGCGGCTCTAATATCAGTAATTACCAGCAATTTCATTCATTGAGAAACATGCTCCCCGGTAATTATAGAAAGTTTATAACGTTAATGATTCAGTTGAGGGGGGACAAAAAAAGACACAATGTATTAGGTAAGCATTGATCTTCCTTCGATTAATACTCCAAGGCCGGGGAAAGTTTTATGAACTCTTTTGTTATTTTTCATACAATATATTTTATTGTGTTGCTGTATGCCTGTAATGCTGGTATTGAAAACCATGTCTCGGTATTGTATCAAGTGTAGATGAACTGAATTATATAATTATATTATGAAAGACAAATTATTTATTCAGTGCTAAAGGGGTAAGCTATTGT